TCAGAAGGCGCGGGCCTTGCCTGTAGATGTAAGGGCCGGCGCTTTCTAAGGGGCAGCGTCCTTTTAAGAAACCGCCCCCCCTCCGCCCACCTCCTTGTGCGCGCTGCAAGGGCGGGCACGGGGACGCTCGGATCCCAGGAGTGAGAGCCGGGGTGGCGGCCTCCTCGCCTCCGTGCTCCTCATCACCGCACCGTGCCTCCTCATCATCATCATCATCATCATCATCATCATCATCATCATCATCATCATCATCATCATCATCATCATCATCATCATCATCATCATCATCCTAGTCACCCTCATGGTCATCATCATCATCATCATCAGCAGCATCATCATCAGCATCAGCATCAGCATCATCATCGTCATCATCGTTATCTTCAGTATCATCATCATCGTCATCATCATCATCGTCATCGTCATCAGCATCATCAGCATCATCATCATCAGCAGCATCAGCATCAGCATCATCATCGTCATCATCGTCATCATCATCATCATCGTCATCGTCATCATCATCATCGTCATCGTCATCGTCATCATCAGCATCACCACTCCCACCACCACCACCATCATCATCTTCAGCATCATCAGCAGCAGCATCATCAGCAGCATCATCAGCAGCATCAGCATCAGCATCATCATCAGCAGCAGCATCATAAATATCGTCATCATCATCAGCACCAGTATCAGCAGCATCCGCATCATCAGCATCGGCAGCATCATCATCATAATAATAATCAGCATCATAAGCATTATAATCAGCAGCATCAGCATTATCATGATCAGCCTCATCATCCTCATCAGCATCATCTTCATCTTGATCGTAATCACCATCGTCATCATCATTATCATCATCACCACCACGGCCATCGTCATCATCATCATCAGCATTATCATCATCATCATCATCATCATCATCATCATCATCATCATCATCCTCATCATCATCATCATCATCATCACCCTCATCATCATCATCATCATCATCATCATCATCATCATCATCATCATCATCGTCATCATCCTCATCCTCATCATCCTCGTCATCATCATCATCCTCATCCTCCTCGCAATCATCGTCGTTGCCGCCGTCGTCATCATCGTCACCAGCATCAGCATCAGCATCAGCATCAGCATCATCACCGTCATCATCGTCATCATCATCGTCATCAGCATCAGCATCAGCATCAGCATCATCCTCATCAGCATCAGCATCATCATCAGCATCAGTATCATCATCGTCATCATCGTCATCATCAGCATCATCATCGTCATCATCATCGTCATCGTCATCAGCATCATCAGCATCACTACTTCCACCACCACCATCATCTTCAGCATCATCAGCAGCAGCATCATCAGCAGCATCATCAGCAACATCAGCATCAGCATCATCAGCAGCAGCATCATAAGTATCGTCATCATCATCAGCACCAGTATCAGCAGCATCCGCATCATCAGCATCAGCAGCAGCGTCATCATCATAATAATAATCAGCATCAGAAGCATCATAATCAGCAGCATCAGCATTATCATGATCAGCCTCATCACCCTCATCAGCATCATCTTCATCTTCATCGTAATCGCCATCGTCATCATCATTATCATCATCACCACGGCCATCGTCATCATCATCAGCAGCATCAGCATCATCATCATCATCCTCATCCTCATCCTCATCCTCATCCTCCTCATCCTCCTCACCATCATCGTCGTTGCCGCCGTCGTCATCATCGTCACCAGCATCATCAGCATCATCAGCAGCGTCATCAATCATCGTCGCCATCATTGGTAGCAGCATCATCAGCACGATCATCATCTCGTCCAATCATCCTCATCATCTCCACCATAATCATCATCGTTCTCACCGTCATCATCAGCAGCATCATCATCGTCACCATCATCGTCATCGTCATCATCATCATTGTCACCGTCATCGTCGTCATTCCTATCATTATCATCATCGTCATCATCACCATTATCGTCACCGTCATCGTCGTCATCATCGTCAGCATCAGCATCAACAACTATAGCATCATCAACATCATCATCAGCAGCAGCGTCACCATCATCAACACCAGCACCATCATCAGCAGCAGCAGCATCGGCATCAGCATCATCACCATCAGCATCGGCATCATCATCGTAATCAGCAGCAGCAGCAGCATCACCAGCTTGATCATCAGAATCATCATCATCATAATCAGCAGCATCATCATGATCATCCCCCTCCCCTCCTCCTCGTCCATATCCGCTCCCCGCCTGCTCCTTCCGCCCCTCTCCGTTCCCAGCTCGGCTCGGGGCGTCCTGGCTCGAGGCGATCGCCGCCCTGCCAAGCTCGGCGCGGCGGCTGAACTGCCGCGCCCCCCCGCCTGCGCATCGCCTCCCGTGCTCGACCCAGCGGCTCGACCTCCAGCCAGCACCCAGCCGCAGAGCTCCACCTCCCGACACCGCCCCAGCAGTCCGACTTCCAGCTCCAGGGCTGGCACCCTGGAGATCTCCGCGTGAGCCAGCGCTCTGCAGGGAGCGAGGGGAGAGTCATCACTAACGCTCCCCTCGCCGGTTGAATCACCCCAGCCACTTCCCTCCAGATGAGGGCCGGCGGGGCCAGGATAGAGAGAGCGAGAGGGAGACGTCTCCGCAGCCTTCCATTCAGAGGCTACGGCCCCGAGCGCCTTGCCCGAACGGGCGCGGGCGCGCGCGCTGCGCCGCACGAGCCTGCGCCAGCGCCTCGCTCGCTCGCCCACCGGGCGTGATCGCCCAGCGCGCCGCGGCGTGAAGATGGCGTGGCGTCTCGCGTGAGACCTGCTTCTCTCCGTCGCTCACGCGCGTGCCAGTTGTCCAGGTGGCGGCGGCCAGTCCTGGCGCCCTGCTTGCAGCGGGGCGGCGCCGGCGCCGCTCGGAGGCCACGACGTGGAGGTCCAGGTTACGCGACATCCCGATGCTGAGGGCAAGCGAGATGCCTGCAGCAAAACAGCGTTTCACTCGGATGCAGCAGCTGGAGTCCGCCTACCTTGTGAAGACAGAGTCGGGGTAGCGGAGAGCATAATTCCTGGAGCCTGGTGGGTTGCTTAGTTCTCCTTCTTTCGTGTCTTCACGCTCTTCTGCAGACTCCTCACCACGGACGTTTCCAGCTGCGCTCCCGTTCTCCGAGTGGCGGCGGCGAGTCTGGGGACCATGCCTGCATGCAGGGGCGGCGCGCGCCGCCCGCGGGCTTCGACATAGGGAGCCCACGGGGAGGAGGAGCTGGAGGGCAGACCGGTGGGCAAGATCGTGCTGCGCAAGCACACGGTGTGTGCATCGATCGAGGAGCGGGGCGACATACGCGTATGTAAATTTTCGGAACGCAGCCCGGATGTATTTGGACTGCGCCGAGACGCCTCGGCGGCGCCTCTCGCGCCGCCCTTGGCGCGCTCCGCGTGCCAGGGAGGTGGGGTCCGATCTAAGAAATCCGCGCGGATCTCCGAACGGTTAATGTCAATGCCGTTTGTTCGTCGACTCGGCACTCGCGGAAGCGCCGATGGCACGCGTCGAGGACGGGTTTTGGTATACCAGGAGGCCTTGCGCAAGCGCACGTGCGACACAGACATGGACGGGCGAGACGGCGAGAGTTTGCTCGATGACGCTGGCTGCTCTAAGCTCATAGCGCTGCCAGGCGACAGGCCGCTGCTCGCAGGTGGGCTTGTCGCAGGTGGGCTTGCAGGACAGACATGAGAACATGAAGGCACCGCGCAGGCCCACGCGGCACCAACGCGGACGAGGAGAAGAACGTGTGCCTCTTCGTGGTCGCGCACGTTACCAGGAAGCAGGCGAGGTTCGGCTTGGCATTGCGCAGCGTGCTCTCAAGCGTCCGTTAGATTCCCCTCCCTCTCTCTCTCTCTCTCTCTCCCTCTCTGAACTACTTTTTGTTCTCTCCCTCTCTCTCTCTCTCTCTCTCTCTCTCTCTTACCCAACCATCCTGTGGTGTTGGGTCCTCGGCTTCAAGAGACAGTGCCCCGCGCTCTCCTCCTGCCTCCCCTCCTCCCACCTCCCCCTCCTCCCTCCTCCCATCTCCTCCAGCGTCCCATTCGTGTCTCTGCCTTCATGTCGGCATACCCCTCACACGCATCGTGTCCCCACAGGGAGCTCCTCCGAAGGCCTCAGTTGCGGTGTTCGCATGCGTCGCCCCCGCCCAGTACAGCGCTTCGTGGCCCCATAGGGAGCTCCACCGAAGGCCCCAGTGGCGGTGTTCGCATGCGTTTCCCCCTCTCAGTACAGCGCTTCTTGGCTCCATAGCGATCTCCACCGAAGGCACACCCTTCGCGTGCTTCATAGCCCCATAAGAAGATCCCTCGAAGGCGATACCCGCAACGACGGTACTCACAACTGCATCTGGTTGGGTCCTTCACCTGGATAATGTCTGTCCGTATCCCTCTCTCTCTCTGTCTCTCTCCCTCTCTCTCTCTCTCTCTCTGTATATATATATATATAGTATCTTTCTCTCTCTCTCTGTCGCCCGCTCTGAAATGGAAGGCTGGAGGGCGGAAGGGAAGAAGGGAGGAAGGGAAGAAGGGAGGAAAAGAGAGAGAGGGAGGGGGGAGGCAACAAAAAACAAAAAACACAACGAGAGAGGGGGAGAGAACGGGTGGTGGCGCGTGTGCAGTGCAGGATGGGGGAAGAGAAGGGGAAGAGAGAAGAGCAAGAGAGTAAAAGCGCGAGGGGGGGAAGGGATGAGAGCGGAGCAGGGAGGAACGGACGATGGATGAGCAAGGAGGGAGGGGCAAGAGGAGGAGGAGGAGGAGGATCTCACGCGTCCGACGGCAGGTTCCGGTTCAGGAGGAGGAGCACGAGGGGAAGGAGGGCGAGGAGGAGGAGGAGGAGGCGGAGGAGGAGGAGGAGGAGGGAGGGCGAGGAGGAGGAGGAGGAGGAGGAGGAGGAGGAGGAGGAGGAGGAGGCAGCAGCAGCGACAGCACAGCAGCGACAGCTGCAGCACGGCGTGGCCCCCCGCCCCCCGCGAGGCGCACCACCACCGGCACCGCCACCGGCGGCGCAGGGAGCGCTCCGAGTCCGCGGGCGGCGCGGCCAAGGCCCGCCTGCAGCCCAACGCGGCCAGCACCGCCGCGGCGCCGGCCCCGCACGGCTACCCGCAGCAGACCCCGCCGCCAGGCCCTCGGGCCGCCCAAATTCAGGAGGGAAAGAAACACACAGACACAATTCATCGGCGATTCCCAGAAACTATGGGGAAATATGGGAAGTGGGGGGGGAAGACAAAAACTCAGAAAACATGGGAAAATATGGGGGATATTTTTATTTGTGTGTATTTATTTGTGTGTCTCAGTTCCCCTTCACAAATAAAACGACGCGAAGATCGGGACAAAATCGGTCTGAGAATCGGCGGGCTTGGGGGATGCATTGGGCGCCGCGGCCGCTCCAGAGCGTTCCGCAACGCTCTGAGAGCGCTCCGGAACGCTCTGGAGCGATTCATCCAAGGGCGCCCTCGAGGGCGCGAAGTTATTCGCGCTTCGCGCTTCGCGGTTCGGCTCCGATCCCCCCTCGTCCTCCTCTCTTCTCCTGGGAGGCGGCGCGAGAGCGCGAAGTTATTCGCACTTCGCACTTCGCGCAGCGCGAAGCGCGAAGTTGGGAGGAGGAGGGAGGAGGAGGAGGAGGGAGGAGGGAGGAGGGAGGAGGGAGGAGGGAGGAGGGAGGAGGGAGGAGGGATGGGAGGAGGAGGAGGAGGGAGGAGGGAGGAGGAGGAGGAGGGAGGAGGGAGGAGGGAGGAGGAGGAGGAGGAGGAGGAGGAAGAGGAGGTGGAGGAGGAGCCCTTGTTTATCCCGGCTTTGCTGGCCGCCCAAAAACGGGGCCGGAAGTGTCGGCAGGGCAACTCTCCGCCGGGCTCTTCCCCTGTGGGCCTGTCGGCGCTTCGGTACACCTCAGGCGATGCTTTTAAGAAAACTTAAGCTTTCGGCCAGAGCCTTGAGTAGTCTTAACGTTTCAATGTAAATCCCAAGATTTTGATAGAATTTTTGGGTTTTTAGTCAAGTTCTGAGACCATGAATTTCTTGACCCATGATTTCTTAAGCATTTCGCAGGGTGTATCTTCGACGGGTTCGATGTTCTGGGGTTCCTCTCGTAGGCTCTCGGCGGTCTTCCAGCCTCGGGATGCCTTCCAGCAGCTGCGCCTCGCCGAGAGCGCTCTGTCAGGAGCGAAAGGAGGACGTATACACGTGCATGAATCCGCGCTGGTTTCGAGAGTTCTCATTGCGCGGACGCTCGTATCGCGCGGCGGGCTTCGCGGATCGAGGGGCCGTGTTCATGTACATCGTTGGGCGCGTACGTCCAGTGGTGGGCTCCCTATTCTGGGGGTGCCCGGATCGTCCCGAACGGCCGCCGCCAGGCAGCCGAGCCGTGGCCCAGGAAGCCCGGGCCCCCTGAGGTCCGAACGCTGCAAGATGCGCACGCCGTGCGCACTCGCCCGGTCTCGGGCCATGGGGCCATCACAGATCGATCCGGGTAAAAAAAAAAAAAAACGTTTAAAAAACAAGCAAAGAAATGCTGGAAGATGGGGGATATAGGGCTCTGGTCTTGACTTCTGCTGGTGTTCCGTTTTTCTCGAAGCGACGCCGGGTCTCAGGGTCAAGAGGCGTCCAGAGGCCTCCGGGGACCTCCAGAGGCCCCCAGGGGTCCTCCGGAGGCCGCTGGGGACTTGCGGGGACGTCCAGGGGTGGATGGGGTGCGTAAGAGGATCGCGCCACATCACCGATGCATCGGCGGTTTTGTCGGCGACGTCGGGATGGAGGCTATCGGCCCCCGGTTTGTAGATAGGGTCGGAGGATACCGCCGATGCGTCGGGTGTGCGTCGGCGACGTCGGGACGGCGAATATCGCGTTCTTGGGAGCAGATGGGGTTTGAAAGATCGCGCCACGTCGCCGATGTTGCGGCGATGCGGTGCGATCTGAGGCCCGATGTGTTCCATCCTGACGTCACCGACGCATCGCTGATGCATCGGCTATGCGGCGCGATCGTCCGACCCTGTCTAGTCTGGGTCCATTTGCCGCGGCCTTCAGGGTCATCAGGAGCCCAGATGTCTGTCCTGCCAGAGGCTCAAATGCCGTTCAGCGACATCAAATATTGACCAGCGTGGACCCCAAACAGAGAGTTAACCATCGCACTGTAGAGATAGCGACTATGTCGTGCAAGCTATGTGGTGTCAATTGGAGTTGTGAAAGCTATGCGGTGTGAGCTGGCATTGTGTGAGTTATGCAGTGCGAGGTTTGCGGTGTGAGCTGGAGGTGAAAGCTACGCGGCGTAAGCACGTGGTCTTAAAGCTATGTAGGTGATCGTTGTTATTCATTGTCTTGTCGATCGGCGCGGGCCCCCCCCCTCCCCCACGCCCCCTATGGAGTAGATCTTGGCTGTTTGGGGCGCCTGTTTCGAGCAAGTAGAGTCTCCCCTCAGAGGACCCAGTGCTGCAAACAGTCGCACTAAGCAGAGGTCCAGAGCCAGACCCCCTTCCCCCCTTTCCGCCCAATGTCGAAACGACGAATAAAAACAACGCTCACTATGTAGCGTAAGCACGTGATCTGAAAGCTATGTACAACCAAGACGCTGAAATAGGAACCACTTTGGGCTCAGAAGGGCCTTTAGTTTTCGGGCTGTTCCTTCGATGTGTGTCTTGGGACTTGCTTTTGGCCTAGGCCCGCCGTGGCCAGAACAGCCCCTCCGTTCCTGATTATGCGTTCCTGATGTTAGCACGATGACTGTAGCGGAAGACGTGTGGTAGAAGTTGTGCGGCGTGAGCTGGCGCTGTGTAAGCTGTGCGGTGCAGGCTGTGCGCACACGGGCGGGCACGGGCGCGAAAACGTGGCGAGACCTCCTTGGCCAACCCACCCAGCGCACGGGGCTCCCACGAGGCGCCCACGACTGGGCACGAACCGCCAAGCGATTGAGGCGTGTCAGTGACAGTGTGCCGACCGATGGGCCACGATTCCCCCAGCCACCATCTTCGCAGCCCCCGAAGGAGCCGCGAGGTCTCACATGGACTTGCGCTGCCTTCATCTCCGCCGTGCCTCCCAGGAGCCCACGAAAGGTGGCCTGGCGGCTCGTTTGCAGAATTCGTCGCAACGGGGGGGGGGGGGGGGGGGGGGGCGTGCGCACGCTTCACTGCAGGCATTTTGGCCCAGAGCGCCACAAGCGACGAGGCCAGACCGAGGTTAGCTGAACTCCTCGGGGGCCAGCGCCACGCTGCAGACATCGTCTCGCTCTTTCTCGTGAGACGCCGGCCGACCCGCCCAGCGCACGGGGTGCCCACGAGCGGACCCGTGCGCGAGCGCAACGATGGCCGACCCGCCCAATTACTTCCCTGAGGCCGGACGCTTCCAAAAACTTGGAGCGGCGGCTTGATTTCGGCCGTTTTCGGCCTCCGGGGGCCTTCGCCGGGCCTCGGGAGCGTCAAGAAACGACGCAGGACGAAAAACTGGTCCTGGGGAAGCGGTCCGGACCTTTCGGGTCCACGCCCCAAAAAAAAATGGAGCAGCTGGATGTCTGGGTTAGAAGGGCTAGCAAGAATCCCGAAGCGCAAGCATCGCTGCTGGGGAAGAACGCTCGGCCTCCACTGGAAGTGTCTTCCTCCACTGTTGGAGGGTCTCGTTTGAAGCGGCGCTGCCCTTGATGGCGGGGCGTGGTCTCCTGGTGTGCTGAGCCTCTGCGAAGGGCTGCGCCACCTGTGCCTCCCCACCCGCTCATCCCTCGCAGGCAGGATGACAGGAAAGAAGAGTGGACACGGGACGAAGAGAAGGTGGAGGAGGAGGAAGGGAATCCCCATCATCCCCCTCTTCCTCCTTCTCCTCCTCCTCCTCCCTCCTCCTGCTCATCCTCCTCCTCCTCCTCCCTCCTCCTCCTCCTCCTTCTCCTCCTACTCCTCCTCATCCTCATCCTCATCCTCCTCGTGCCGTCCGCTTGTCCAGGGGCCTGCATCCATATCCACCTAGGGGTCATAGTGCTTAGGAGTAGGCACAGTCCAAGACCCCCAACGGCCATGTCCTTATCCTTGTCCTCCTCCTCCTCCTCCTCCTCCTCCTCCTCCTCCTCCTCCTCCTCACCTGTGGACTGTCGGTGGAGAGGAAGTTATCGATACTGCTCCCCTTGCCTCTTTTCGCCTTTGGGGGCCGCCTGGGAGGCCATCGTCGCCACGGCTGGGTTCGCTTCGGAATCTTCGTCAGAACGCACCCCGGGAGAGGACTGGGAAGTAGCGGTGTTGGTCTCTTCGACTGCACGCAAGAGTGACCTTTCGCCGGAGTGATCTTTGTTGCAAGCCCAATCAGGCCCCCCGACCGCTGAACGCGAAGCGGTAGCAGCGGCTTGCGCGCCTAGGGTTGGCAATTAAGTCGCGCACCTAACGGTCGTTCTTGCCAAAGGTCACTCTTACGTGAAGCCGCATCTTCTGGTCCATCCAGATTGGGGGAAGGCCTTTTTGCGGGAAAGGGAGAGGGGATGGAGGTGGAGAGCAGGGTTAAGTCGGGCATGTCCATCTATAGAAGGAATATTCAAAAATACAGAAAAAAGTCGGGGGACGATTTTTCTACTATGGTTGAACATTTGGGGTGTATTTTTTATCATTGTTTTTTCATCCAGAATCTGCCTGTAGGAGGACGTGCCCGACCTTTGAGCAGGGGGACAGAGGGGCACCAGCAGCAGTGCACGGCAACCGGGCCCTCGCAGGTCAGCTCCACGCGCCCTATCAGAACCCGTACCCGCAGCCCCAGCAGCAGCCGCAGGGGCCGCCCGGTCAGTTCGCGTCCCCTGGGGACCCGCCGCGGCCGCAGGCGGAGCGCCACCGGTTCTGGCCCACCACGCTGTCCTCCTCCTCCTCCTCCTCCTCCTCCTCCTCCTCCTCCCTCACCTCCTCCTCCTCCTCCTCCTCCCCCTCCTCTTCTCCCCCTCCTCCTTCCTCCTCCTCCGCCTCCACCTCCTCCTCCGCTCCTCCTCCTCCCCCTCCTCCTCCTCCTCCTCCTCCTCCTCCTCCTCCTCCTCCTCCTCCTCCTCCTCCTGCTTCGCCTCCTCCTCCCGCTCCCCCTCCCCGAGCTTTTCCAATCCCCCCACCCCGCGGAGCGGAGCGACACGGCATCCGCTCGCAAGGCATATCCGGCACAGCATATCGCCGGAGCCGTTGCAGCGATGCGCTGAGCATAAGTTCCTGACAGTAGTTGCGCAGGGGCTCACACCCCTAGGGGGAAGGCATTCGTCTCGGTCACACTCGTCTGGAAGACGCTCGATATTCGCAACCTCTCTTTAGATCCCCTCGGCCGCACCGAGATTCGAGCCGTGACGCTGATCATTAGCTGACGCTGATCGCTAACACGAGTTGTTCTTTATCCTCTGGCACGTAGCATTCGCGACCAGGGCCAAACATCTCCCACGCCGACCGGGAAACGGTAACGGTCGTACGTGGGGGACGAGCCTGGAGCCCCCTTCAGATGCTGGCGCTCGCGCGCATCCTTTGGCGATCGCAGCGCATCCCCGCCGCCCGAGCGTTACAATTACCCGGAGCCCCAACCGCCCCCCCCCCCCTCCCAAGGTAACGACCGCTACCCGATATGATATTAAAATGAACCTGGCGCGACCCTAATTGGGGGGAAAGTTTCCTATTGCATGGGCGCAGTGCTTCGCACTGCATGGCATTGCTTGGCATTGCTTGGCATTGTTTCGCATTGCTTCGCAGCGCTTGGCATTGCTTGGCATTGCTTGGCATTGCTTGGCATTGCTTGGTATTACGCGGCATTGCTTGGAACGGGCACAGTAAGAATACGAGGCACCGGGAGCGGGGAACCCCGGGATCCCAGGGAACCCAGGTAAACCGAGGAAGCCGGGGAACCTGGAGAACCCGAGGAACCCAGGGAACCCCAGGAACCCGGGGAGCCTCCGAGCAACGGGCAACGTAAGGAGCGCCCCCGCCCGCCCGCCCCCGGGCCGACTCCTGGGCGAGGCCCCTCCTCGTCAGGGGAGTTCATATCGGGCGAAAAGAGCGCTGCACGGGCGCCGATCCTGGCCAGGCCCGTGCTGGCCCCAGGATCGGTGCACATGCCTTCCTGGCCAAGGCAGAAAGAGCGTATGCACCGATCCTGCGAGGTGCCCCCCGTCAGGGAAGCATATATCGAAGAAGAAAACGCCATAAACATAAACTGTTGGCGTTCCGCGCGGATTTCTTGGATCCGCGCTAGGCCCCGCCGGTGGGGCGACTCCACTTTTAAAGGTTCCCTTCGTCATATATATATATATATATATATAGTATCGCTCTCTCTCTCTCTCTCTCTTTCTGTCTCTCTCCTTTTTTTCTGGGGGGAGGGGGGGCAGGTGGGTGGGTGGGTAAAAAGGGGGCGGGTGGGTGGGTGGGTCACAGAGGGACTCATGTTGTAATCGCCAACAAACGGAATTCTAGTGAATCCTCCACAACAGGAATCCGATTGAAATCCTCCACAAAAGGAATCCTAGTGTAACGCGCCACAAAAGAATCCCTTTGTGGCGGCCAGGACAAGTGGGAAGGCCAGGAGAGAAAAAAACTGTTTCTTTTACCCCGCGCCACTGCCCGGAGAAACATGTTTGTTCATGTCTTGGCCTTTCCACTCTTCCTGGCCGCCACAAAAGGAATTCCTTTTGTGGCGCGTTACAATGGGATTCCTTTCGTTAGGGTTTCAATCGGTTCCTTTTTGTGGCCGATCACAAAAGAATGTCTTTCTGTGGCGGATTGCAATACGGTCTTTGTTGTGGAAGATTTGAATCGGATTTTCTTTGCGTTTTTTTTTGTTGTTTTAATGTGTGTTCTCTCTCTCTCTCTCTCTCTTTCTCTTTTTTTCTCTCTCTCTCTCTCTCTCTCTCTTTCTCTCTCTTTTTCTCTGTCTCTCTCTTTCTCGCTCTCTCTCTTTCTCCCTCCTTCATCGGGACCCCAATTTTTCCTTGCCGCCACACAAGGATTCCCTTGTGTGACGCATTGCGATAGGATTTCTTCTGTGTGAATACTTGCGATAATGCTGTTGGTCGAGGTTGCAATATTATTCCTTCTGCAAAGGATTCCAATCTAAGTCCTCTTGTGGACGATTACGATAAACTTTTTTCTGCGACCGATGACACAACGATTCCACTTTGGGGGGATTTCAATAGGATCCCGATTACACTGGGATTACTGTTGTCGACGATTCTTATAATATTCCGTAAAACCCTTACTGGACGGATCCACCTCTCATAGAATCCTATTACAAATGGTTCCACTTCTAATAGATTCGCATTACATATGGGTCCGCCTCAAAGAGAATCCTACTACAGATGGATCCACCTATAATAGAATCCTATCAGGGATGAATCCACCTCCTCTAATAGATTCCTATGACAGATGGATCCACTTCTACTGGGACCCGATTAGAGATGGATCCACCCCGAACGGAACCCTATCAGAGCGAGATCCACCCCCAATAGAGTCCTATCAGAGATGGGTCCATCTCTAATAGAATCCTATTACAGAAGGATCCACCTCTACTGGGATTTGAACAGAGATGGAGCCACTTCGATTGGGAACAAACTACACATGGATCTACCTCTAATGGAAGCCGATTAGAGATGGATTCACCCCTATTAGAACCCCATTAGCGATGGGTCCACATCCAATGGGAGCCTAGTACATATGGATCCACTTCTAATAGAATCCTAGTACAGAGGGATTCAGCTCTAGTGGAATCCGACTAGAGACGGACCCATGTTTCATGGGATCCGATTAGAGATGGATCCACTTATGTTGGGATCCTATTAGCGATGAGTCCACCTCTGATAGAATCCCATTAGAAATGGATCCACGTGTAATTGAATCCGTTTAGAGATCGATCCACCTTTAGAATCATATTACATATGGATCCACCTCTAGTAGGATCTCCTTCCGGATGGATCCACCTCGAGTAGAAACCCAATACATATGGATCCATTTCTAAATAGAATCTTATGAGATACGGACCCACCTCTTATGGACTCCGATTAGGAATGGATCCGCCTCTACAGGAATCCTACTGGAGATGGGCCCACCTCGAATGGAATCCTGTTACATATGGGTCCACCCCTAGTCGAATCTTGTTACACATGGATCGACCATGCATAGAATCGCATTACAGATGGATCCACCTCTGATAGAATCGCACTACATATTGGGCCACCCCAAAGGGAATCCTACGACACGTGGGTCCACCGTCCATAGCATCTACTCAGGAATAGATCCGCCACTAATTCAATCCTACGACAGATGGAGCCACCTCTAATAGCATCATATGGCCTAAGGAACCACTTCTAATATAATCCCATTAGAGATGGATCCACAACTAATGGAATCCCATTAGAAATGGATCCACCTCTAATGGAACCCTGCTACGGATGGATCCACCTCCTGTAGGGTCCTCTTACAGATGGACCCACGTCTAATATAATCCTATTACATTTGGATCCACCTCTAATAGAATCCTGTTAGCGATGGATCTGCTTCAAAAAGAATCCTTTTTAGAGATGGTTCCATCTCCAATGGAACGCTATTCGAGACTGGCCCAAATCTAAAAGAATCCGATTACAAATGGCTCCACATAGAATGGAACCCTAGTAGAGATGGATCCACCTCAGATAGAATCGGGTTAGAGATGGATCCACCTCTAATGGAATCCTACTACAGAATCCTACGACAGCTGCACCCACCTCCTATATAGTCTTATTGCATACGGATCCGCCCCGGATAGAATCCTACTAGGGATGGGTCCTTCTCTAATAGAACCCGACTAGCCATGTATCCAGATCTGATGGGATCCGAATAGAAATGGGCCCACATGTAATGGAATCTTACTACAGATGGATCCACCCACGAATGGAATCCCCTTACAAACGAACCCGCCTCAAATAGAAGCCTACTACAGATGGATCCGCTTCTGTTATATTCTTCATACGTATGGATCCATCTCTAATAGAATCCTGCTACCGGTGGATCCACCTTGAACACGATCCTGTTAAAGAGGGATCCATCTCGAACGAAATCGGTTACAGCTGGACCAGGCTGGCATCTTATTGGAAATTTGCCACCTCTAATGGAATCCTACTAAAGATGGATCCACCTCTAATGGGATCCGAATAGGGATGAATACACCTCGAATGGCATCATATTAGAGATGGGCCCACCTCTAACGGAACCTCGTTGCATATGGATCCACCTCTAATAGAATCCTATTCGGGATGGGTCCACTGCTATTAGAATCCCACTAGGTATGGACCCACCCCGACTGGGATCTCATCAGGGTGAGATCCATTTCGAATGGAGTGTTATCAGACATGGGCCCAACTTTAATATAATCCTACTACATATGGATCTACCTCGAATGGAATCCCGACAGAAATGGATCCACTTCGAATGGGAGCCTATTATAGATGGGTCCACCTCTAATGGAAGCCGATTAACCATGTATCCACTTCTAATTGAATCGCATTGGAGATGGATACACCTCTAATGAGTTCCTAGTACAGATGGATCCAGTTCTGATAGAATCCCATTACATATGGATTCAGCTATCATGGAATCCGATCAGAGATGGACTCATCTCTCATGGAATCCGATCAGAGATGGATCCACCTTTTAATAGAATCCGAATACCTACGCATTCAGCTTTAATGAAGTCCCACTAGAGATGGACCCACATGTAATGGAATCCGTTTAGAGATGGATCCACTTTTAATAGAACCAAACTACAGATGGATCCACCTCTGATAGAATCTCATTACATATGGATCCACTTCTGCTAGAAACCTGATACAT